AGCCGGGTAATGAAACATTTGCAAGAAAAGAACCAAGCTCAAAGAACCCCAAGGACTCCACGGTTCACCCCTGAGCTATGCATATTCACCTCTATTGCTATGCTTTAAAAATAGAATGCAATATAACAATAGAAAAAATAAGATTCTGGATTGCCTACTTCCACATTCCTGAAAGTGCATTAAAAGAGATGGTAAAACGCAATTCCCTATTTATCTGATCTGGATTTTCCTCTACTGTTGAGTCAATTCCCCTTTTTCAAATGAGAATGAGGGCATTACCAGCAAGGTTTGATGGAACAGGATAAAGAAGGACATCAGGATGTTAAGGGCATGCAAAGACAAGGAATCCAAAGATTCAGGAGCTGTGCAGACAGATCAAGAGATCATTTGTCTGGGTGATAAAATTGGATGAGCAGGTCATTTAATGCCATCATCTCCCCTCTTGCAATGAAAAAGGAGGGTTAATTATCGTTAATGAATGGAAGGCTAATAATAGTATGTTCACTTCAAAAAGCAGCCCAGAAATATTCATGGGGAGCTGTGAAAGCAAAAAACCCAAAGCAATGAAGAAACCTGAGTCCAATCCACTCCTCCGTCCTCTTCCACACACACCCTCAAGACACACACTGTTATAAGCCAAGATAATAGAATGCATGAACCAGAGCAAGGAGAATTATGTAGGATGAGAAAGAATGTAAATTATGCCTCTCTTAATAGATACAGGAAGAAAGAACAGAACTAAGCTTTGGTCACAATTAATTTTCCTGTCAGCTTTAGATGCTGGGCTGAAACATCCTGCCCTTTAATTCAGGACAAACTTTAAAGTTGTACAGTAGTCACCAACTTATTAATTATTGAAGTTATTTCCCGGTGTTCTTGCTATGATAATGACAAAAGGGGGTTATTTCCAATTCTCCAGTTATTGTATGGACCTATGTTTGACAGCAATTTACACTAGGGAGCTGAGGCAGTGCCTTAAGCCACAGGGAGCCATGGCTGGAATCAGAGTTGGCATCTTTGGCTTTTAGACAAGATTTTTATTTTTCCTACTGCTGGAGAGAAAGGAACTTATTGTTGAACTCGGCAAGAACTTTGTTCTTCTGTCAGCCTTTGTATCGCTCAAGGAAAGGATTTATCTGAGGCTTCTGTCACTTCTGAGGGACGTTATAGATTTTGAAGGGCCTTAGAACTTTCCAACGAATGTGTGCATGGAGGGAAGGAGAGAGAAAAGGGCACAAATGTTTATTTTCAGTTCTGTGCTTTCATTCCTGAAAATATCTGAATGGATTCCACAAGCCACATTTTAAGCATGCATAATGGAAGGGATGCATTTCCAGAAATGTGTAGTCAAGCCCTGTCTTTGCCTCACTTTCTTCTGTTGTGGAAATAGACCTTTGGAAATGTTGGGGGTCTGCACTTTCTAATACTCTTCCTCAACTTGAATGTATTGTCTTCCCTTGGGAGAACAATAAAAACCAGGCATCTTTTACACGCCTAGATGAAAAACATTTCAAGTGCAAAGGACAGAATCTCCTTCCCTAGAACTAGCTTTTGTCATTGCAGCAGGTAAACCAAGCAGCAGGTAAACAAAACAAAACAAAAAATCCTTCCTGTGTTAAATCCCAGAAAAAACTGAACTGTATCCTTGTAAATCATGCAGAATATGCCTGCATGCACAGCTGGTGCAGTTTTGTACAGTTAAGTGCCTTAGATCACAACCTTAGCATGTTTTTGTCCACACGTCTCCCCTTTTCCAAGCAATGTTGGAGAAAAAGAAAATCATGGAAAGTTGATTTTAAAATGCATCTGTTAAATTGCTTGTCGGTTCTGAAAATTTGGTTTGTTTATATCCTACTAATGACTATAAATATATGTAAATAATAATCATGCCGCACAGAAGAGCAGTGTAGGCACATGCAGATAACTTACAGGCTTGTGAGTATCTTATTTACTTTCATACTTTTAGTACCAAAGTGCTAGTTTTTCCATTTCATATGGCATTAGCCAATAAGAAAAGAGTAAAATGTCCACATTCATCCAAATTTCCATGGAAACCTCTGTAATCTGCCACTACTTGGTGCCCTAGATTTAGGAACACTTGTTTCTTGGTATCGTCTAATGATTGAACGTATTGAAATACATCAGAGAGGGTGTTTATTACACACCTTCACAATAGATAATTGTTAACAACCACATCATGTGGAAGAAGGCTCGCACTGAGACACAGTCTTTCTTATTAACTGTTTATAATAGTGCATGCCGGCATCTGGGCCTTTAAAAAAAAAAAAAAAGGGTGATCTCTAATGACTGAATTTCACAAAGTTTGAAAGACTTTTTCTGAAGTTATTCTTCCAGCTATGAAAACGTCTTCACCTTTCATGCTCCAAAATTCTTTCATTTTAAGAATGACACAGTTTTGTTCTATGCTTATCTTAGATGGAGAATGGCTAATGATATATAAAAAGTCAGATAAAATTTGGCATTGAGGAAACATTTAATAGTCTTGGAATCCTTCTTCTCCCATTCTGAGTAATTTGTAATAACTCAGCAGTAATATGTCCTAATTCATCTATTCTCAACAGCATTGCTATTATGGCAACCCATGGCCTTTTCCAGATTCCGCATGTGGCTCTGAATGGTTAACAGCCTGAAGTTGGCAATAATCAAATGTTTCCCCCATAGGGGCCATATATCTTCAGAGTGTAGTTTTAAGATTATTAGAGATTTTTTTGTTCATGGTTGTATTTATTTTTTCCTTTGAAAAAATATAATAGTTGCATTTAAAGGGACTCTTGGAGCACTTTTGGATGAGGCTTAGATCCTGACCTGACACCATTCAGTTGACCAAGTTGTAACTTTCTCCTGCTCCAGTTGTGGGTTGTTGCAGCAGTGGCTGAGTTTCATTTTGATCACAATCACTGGCCAACAACTGAGCACTGATTAGCTGCAACATCTCTGCTCATCTTTGGCTAAGAAGGACACCGCCTGACGGGCTGTCAGTGCTCTGTAAGTGCTACAAATGCACAGCAGAGCGAGGTCTGGTAATTGAATAGTCAAAACAGTTTACTTAAATTCTATTCAATTTCAAATGTGAAGTTAGAGGACTTGGGCAATTGAAAGCCTCTTTCTCTCAAAGGACCATTGGAAAGCAGAATCTGTATTCACGGTAGGTGTCATGAAAATGTATTATTATTATTATTATTATTATTATTATTATTATTAT